TCTCTCTCTCTCTCTCTCTCTCTCTCTCTCTCTCTCTCTCTCTCTCTTTCCCCCAAAACTTGGGAAGCAAATCTCAGTTCTTCCCAAGCCTGGGATTCATAGTGGCTTCCAACAGTGTCCCCCTTCCTTCCCTCCATCAAAATGGTAGGGACCAGCCATATTACAAAGGGAACCAAAGTGGGGTAGGGGGTCTACATGGATGGCCTGGCAAAGACTGCATGCTGGGAAAGAAGGAACACAGTCGAGGGGCACCCTGTCTGACCCTGTTCTCACCACCAGCCTGTACCTCCCGTACCCCCGGAAGCAGAGCTCTCTTACTCACAGGCAGTCCTGGGGGGCCCATGGCACCTGGGTAACCAGGTTGTCCTGGAGGACCCTGCAAAGAAAGGCAGACATGATGATGGACCAGCCCTCAACATTTCTGTGACCCAGGCCTGAATTCCTGGCTCTGCCATCCACCATGTATAGTTGCTACTCTGGGCCATTTCCCAAGCCCAGGTTCTCTCGGCTAGGTGTCAAGCCCCAGGCTCACCAGAGTAAGGTAGGGAGGACCAGGCATACAAGAAGGGAACACGAGTGCTGTGGGCTGAGGGAAGGAGAGGCCCACTAGCAGTGGTATGCAGCACCCGGGGCTGTATGGACACCCAGGGTGTAGGCGCACATGGACACCCAGTTGCTTAGATCCAAGGCGTGTGCAGCCCTTTCTTTTGTAGCCCTCAGCGCTTCTGGATCGGGGCTGAGGGTTTCACAAGAAGGCCCCTCTCTACTACTCAGTGGTCGCCCCTCCGCCAAGCTCCACCCGGCTCCTCAGGCCTCTTCTTACCGGTTCTCCTTTGTCTCCAGTCAGGCCCGTGAGGCCTCGCTCCCCTTGAAGACCCTTAGAGAGAGAGAAACCATGAGAAGCTGCAGAGGAGGCTAATCCCTAACCTAGCCCAGGCTCTCCCCTGCCCCATGCCTGCCTCTTCCCACTCTGGACAAAGGTGACTAGTGGTAACCCAGTGTCCCTGGCAAAGTGACTGTCTGTGGTATACTCTGGAAGGGTAAGTCTAAACATATGGGTGCTTCTCCAGAGCTCGGCTTCCAGAGAGGCAGCAGTAGAGACACACCCCTCCAAGGGAGCAGTAGACAGGGCAGCTCCCAGGCCACCGTCACTGCCGTATTCTACTGCGGAGGCTATGGGATCCCTTCAGGAGATGTGTGCTCCTTCAGAGGGGAAGCTGTCAGGATAGCTGTCTCCACAAATGATCTTCTCAGTGTCACCACATCACTTACCTTTCCCAGTTCCCACCCAAGCCCGAATAACAATCTTTGGCGTACAAGGGACAGGCACAAGAGGGCTCTCTCCAGAGCAGTCCCATGCGCTCAGCAGCAGAGAGAGGGACATCAGTTTCAATCAAAGCCCCTCACTCCTCGCCCTGATCTCCACAGCTCCAACACTGAAAACATCTCGGCCACCCCCTTCTCCCTCATACCTGCTAGAAGTGGTACCCAAACCTCTCCATGACACAAGACAGATGGCTAGACAGACAGATGGCCCCTTCACCCAAGCAAACAGAAACAGACATGGTCCGGCCAGGGATGAAGACGCGGAAACAGATGGAAATGTGACAAGGAGGGGCTCTGGCCCTGCCTCCATCACTCCTGGGAGGGCAGGAGCCAGCTGGGGAGCACGAATCCAACAAACAAGGGGTTTAGCTTCCGGGACCCAAGAGAGAGCAACAATGAGGATGGGGAGGGGGTTGTGATTTAAACACACCTGTGACAATGACACTGACAAGACAGAGCAATTAACGACACCTGGCAGAAGGATCAGCCCAAGGCCCTAGGCACAGTGGGGCAGGGCCCTAACACCAGAAACCCAACAGGCTGGCACCACATGCCCAGCCTTGGAGCAGACTCGGCCTTGAGCCAAGGAAGAGGGAAGAAGAGGAGGCTATGGGTTTCCTCTAGCCGCAGGGAAGGGTGCACACAGAGCTGCCTGTAAATCCCCAGAGCGCCTCTGGACAGTCCTACCAGGCAGCAGGGCAGCTGACCTGTGCCAGCCTGCAGTGTGAGGCCCTAAAGCTTTGGCATCTCTGCCGGGCGCAGAGCCAGGTGCCTGGCAGGGCTCCAAGAACTACTTTCAGCAAATCTTCAGTCCACAGAGCAGTGGTGGGAAGCAGGAGGCAGGAGAGAGACTCGAGAGATAAAGGGGCTCCCTTCCTAGAGGCACCAACTTCCAGTGAGAAGCTAAAGAGGCTTGGGGGACAGACAGGAAATGACGTGTGGGCTTGGGGGAATAGGAAAAGGAAAATGGAGGGACTGAAGGAGAGAACGTAGGAGAAAGTGCTGGAGAGGCCTAGAGAGGGTGGAGAGATGTCAGAGACCAGAGAGCCAAGCCACTGGGACTTACGGGAACCTGTGTCGTTAGCTACCATGCCTGTGGGGGACAATGAACAGAAACACCAGGACACGGAGGGGGTAGAGGAGATGGCACAAGAGGAGTGGGGGACAAGCGGAAGCCACAGAGACCTGACTGGCAGGGAGGGGGGCGGAGTGCTGCTAGGTTCTTACGGGCAATCCGGGGGAGCCAACAGCACCAGGAAAACCTGGGGGGCCCTGGTGGGAGAAACAGGCAGGTCACATCTCACAAGAGCCGTCACTGGGGGAGCCTAGAGGCATAATCTGCAGTTGGGAGCTTTGGTGGGAGTTTTTCAAGGTCACTGAAAAGGAATCTTAGCAGAAGGTGGCCACTGTTACCCTAAGCGGGGTCCTGACAGGCAGAGATAGCAGCAGCCTCCCCAGCCAGGAAACTCTTCCCAGGGCTCCCCAAGTCTGCCTTTGGTGGATTGCAAAGTGCCTTCATATTGGTTCTGCACCCCTCCCCCATCACCCAACCACCAAGGTCCCTTAGGTGTGTAGCCCCAAGGCCTCCATTTTTCTTCACCAAAGAACATATTATCAGCACTTTCCATTTTTCTAGCCACATCTTTCCTGCTTCACCAACATCCCTGTGAATTCTGGGTAAAGACCCCTGGCTTGGCATTTGTAGCCTTCCCTAGAGAGGCCTCCATAGAGCTATGGAGGGCACCATCCCAGGCCCTTCTAGAACTAGTGTTAAGGTTGAGTGGAGAGAGATCTGGCTGCACAGCATGCTCCATGCTGGTTGTAGGGCTACTTGAGTCCCTAGTGTGGTACTAAACACAACAGGGAAGAGATGGACCCAAATGCGTGCCCCCCGAGGGCCTTCCCTAAGTGGCCCCACAGGGAGTGGGGCAGAGCAGGGTGCTTCAGGGAATTCCAAGTGGGCGAGCACAGCCCCAAAAGATGCTCTCATGACGGGACAGTAATGGTAGTGTGTCCCTGCCTGGCTGCAGAATGCTGTTTGGGTTAGGACTTTCTGAGATCTGTCCAAACACACCAGGATACCAGGGATACTTACAATAGGTCCTGGAGGACCGGGGGAGCCCCTCATGCCAGGTGGACCCTGAAGAAGAAACCAGAGGAAGTAGATGAAGAAGATGAGGAGGCTTCATGAAAGCCCGAGTTACTGCACCTTCTTCCAGCCCCCTGCAGTTGCAGACAGGAGAGAGCTGCTGATGTCGAAGAGAACCACTTAGCGGATGCTAAAATGGCCTTTCATTCAGTTCATTCAGTCATCCAACAAACATTTATTGAGCAGCTATTATGTGCCCGGGCACAAGCCCAGGGGCTGGAAACATAGCTATAAACAGAACATTAAAATCCCAGCTTCGTGGCACTTATGTCCTAGAGGCGAGGTGAACAGTTACAGATGGAGCATGGCTGGCACATAGTCGGTGCTCAGTTCACACCTGTGGAGTGTTCCTGAAGGCAGTAGATGCACAGAGTGTTGGCTGCCAGTGAGGACAATAAAGGCAAAGGAGCTTGGGGTGTGTGGGGAGTGGGAGCCTGGGAGGGGGTGTGTGGGGAGTGG